TCTGGGATAATCCAGTCCAAATAAATCGGCTATGCAGCGATTTAAGAGGTTCAAACACGGAGGATTGTTCGCTCAGCGCTGTAAATTAAATTTCCCTTAACTTTCCCCTTAACTGCCGAATCGGATGCTCTGAATCGGAAGCCAACTTCAGCGTAGTAGCCTACTTGACGAGGGAGAACACACACGGGCGGTAGTGAGCGCACCCAGCATGGCGCTACAAACTGAAGAAAGTCGGGGGTATTTAACCAAAAACTCAACAGGAAACGGTGTGGGCAGCCTGGAAGAAGCCGACAATGCAGACGCTAACATGTACGATCCCGGACACGTTAATCCGCTAGTAGCCTGTGACATGGAGCCTTTCCGTCAGACAGCTGCTGCCCCTCCGGAGGAACGGTCAGACGCAGAGAGCCGTGTGGGCGACAGCTCCTCTTCTGCTTGCGCCACAATCTCAGAAACAGCCAGGGAGCTGTGCAAAGCTGTGTCCGTTTCTCTGGGTCTGGCCATGGAGTCCTCTGACACAGGAGATATGGACGCTGCTCTCCATGACCAAATGCGAGGAGAGTATTTGTTCGGATCCCTGCCTCTGAACTGTCCCGGAGCTCAGGGGACAGTGGCGGAGTACGCGCGCCATGACCAGCACTCTCTGCACGGCCAGAAGCAACTGGTGGAAATGTTCAAAAGTTCGGAGACTGACTCGCGCCTGCAACAACTCACCTCCGCTCGGACCTCTGCGGAGGAGCCACACTTCGCGCTGTGCGAGGCTGATGGCATTACTTCAGAGGAGATAGATAATCTGGACACGACGAGTGCAGCCTCTTGTCCTTATGCCACAACTGCGCCAAACAACTTGGCACACTTCGGACACGCAGCCGTGGAGCGACCGTGCCGAGGCTACAAGCCCCCCGACGAGGAGAGAGACTTCGGGGAAGCTATGGAGAACAAGTTCGGGGGTTATCAGTCGGACCAATACAGCGTCAAAGTGAAATGTGAGGACGGGGAAGCTGGCCTGGCTCTGTGGGACAGTAGTTACACTTTTAATGAGAAGTACAACTCGCAGTGTTGGGGCTCCAGGCCTTGCATGAACGCTTACAGCACAGGGGCCAACACCGCGTTCATATGTCATCCATATGAGAGGAGCGCCGTGCGCCCGGAGCAGTGGCACCCGGGCGGGATGATGAGGCCGCCGTATCCAAACTCCAACTACATGAAGCCGGAAGTCGGTGAGTGGCTGGATGTCGCCTACAATGACACCAGGTGAGCTATAACAATGCACATAATTAAGACGATAATAATAGGTTTATATTACATTGTCTTTCTTATTAAGTGGGACTTTATGCCATTATTAATGGAGCAGAGACGGGTGAGTTTCTCTGACTTCCAGAACCTATTGCACTCTGATCTTAATTCATTCAAACAGATGTCCAATGTGAACCGTATGTGTGACCTTAATCTGATCCCAGACATGGGCATATTGAGTGTCACCTGTTAAGTAATCCCTATACATTATAACAAAATATACTATATCATCATCTTAACCCAACTTTAGCACAAATTAAAAATAATGTAGTCTCTCCTTGTGCATTCTTATTTTATTTCTTCCTGACAGAATCTTTTTGTTTAATTTAACAACCAAATGTCAAATGTAACAGCAGGGGGGCTGGGGGAATCATGTTTTCTACTGCACCGACAGCAGAGGTATTTTATGACATTATCAGGTTGCTTTTATTAAATATCTTGCAAACTAAGTTCTGCTGCATTTTGAAAACACATATTTGTTGTCTTGCTAGTTCCAATCTTTGCAGTTTAGATGCATATGCCCCCAATACATTTTTTTTTTTTTTATATTACTAAATGAAGTTCTTTCATATGATTACTGGATGAAATACATTTTCCACTTAGATGTTCCTTTAGTTTGAGTTATTCTAAAAGCCATTTTAACGATGTGCTTAATCAATTTTAACAGTATTAAAAAAACAATAAAGTAATATATCTTTCAGTTAAACATAAAATCTATAATGTAACTTTCAACAATTATTTAGTTTGGCCTTCATCAAACAGAAAATACCTTTCAGTGTTTGGTGATTATAATTTGTAATAATTAAATGGCTCCCATGAAAGAAATGTCTCTGTGTGAATGTGTTCTCTGTCTTCTAATACACGCCAGCTTTGCTTGCCAGGATAAATGTAGTTTTCTTGTGAGAGAAAAAGTTTGTTGAATTTATTGGGTGATTTCATGAATAGACCAGATATGACTCCACAGAATACACTCCGAATGGACCTAAAGCCATGTTTGGCTACAATCGGTTTTAAAGAGCATTTGATTTTTACTGTTGGGTTTGACAATTGATTTGAAAATGATGCCCTCAATCATATGTTGACTGACTTCCACATGTGTACCCGAGACACAGTGTACTGCAGCTGACCCTTATCACACATTTGACCTAGTTTACCTAGAGGCAATAGACACATGCCCGTTTATTTCTAGGTATTTTTGATGAGTCGGTCCTCATCATGTGGATTTACATATTATATTATATAAATTGGTATTTTCACATTGTTCTTGTAAGATACGTTTGTTGTTTTTACATTGTTTTACATTGCCAATTGTGTTTGTTGACTGGTGAAGCCCTCTGAGACAAATATGATTTGTGATTTTGGGTTATATAAATAAACTTGAATTGAATTGAATAGTTGTTTGGACTTTTATAGCTACCATCAGTTCTCCTAGGATTTAAGAAAGATAAACAATTTCATTTACCTGCGGTTTTTATCCAAAGCGTTCAAACACATCAATATCATAGAGATACCTAATAATTTTTTGTTAAGCTTATTTCCCATGGACACTTGGACACTACATTTGATTATTTAATTGATGCTCTGCTGTTGTTACGAAGTTAAAATAACAATCTGCCAAAAATATCGCCTCCACCATGAATGAGTTGTTGCATCGTGTTTCTACTTATCATGCAGGGTGTGTACGAGGCATACAAAAAAAATGACTTAAATACACAAAGAAACAAAAGCCTGGGTTAAAATTTAGAATCTGACCTGAAGCAGGATGAGATGAGCTGGTATAAATACTGTGGGGGTAATTAGGGATTAAAGGTGCTAAATCAGATGAAAGAGTCGTGGCAGCTGCTGCTGAGTTAGGCCTTATGTGTGTCTTAATAATATTTGAAAAAAATCATTGCAGTAGATGAATATGCAGTTTATCTCAACATGCAGAACATGAACACTTTACTACAGATAATGCCATCTGAGGAAGACAACAATGGGTTTTACAAATGTTTGCAGCTTATACCCCACCTCACCACACCAGAAAATTATTAAACTCTTTACTCCGCTACGTCTGTTTGACAGGTCCATTCACTTTTCAGAATAAAAACTCCTTACATTTCCTGTCCAGTTAGAAACATGTGTTTCCAAGTTTGGTATTTTTCTAATGTGATTATTCCGACAGATAGATTACATTAGATACAATCAAATTATAGGCTACTTTATTAGTTCCCTAATGGGGAAATTGTTGCTGTCACAGCAGCATGGAAATGCATTGTGCATGAGTGTAAATAGAATATTAAAAAAAACATTAATACAAAATAAAAATACAAAGACGAATATAAACATAGAACAATATTAACATTATACAAGTGTGCAAAGTAATTGCAGTTTTCTAACATTTTAAATTCAGTGATATAGTGTTAGTATGTGCAAATCGTAAATAACTAACTTAATTAACTGTTAATGTTCTTTTATGGTTTTAATCCGTTTTCAAACTGCTTTCAACCCTCCTGTTGTGTTCGGGTCAAATCTGACCGATTTACTACTTTCATCAATCATAACTTTTTTGTTTTACATTCGATTGCATTAAGGCTTTATGACATCCTTCACAGTAGACATTTGAACATTCAAAATTGCTGATCACCACTTTCATTGAATTTTTGATGATTTAGTCAACTTTGTAACACCGATGGTGTTCCCGCCATAAAGAAAAGGAATTAGTAACCATTCGGATCAGATAAAACACACACACACACACACACACACACACACACACACACACACACACACACACACACACACACACACACACACACACACACACACACACACACACACACACACACAAACGATGTGTTTCCCCCCCCCTCATGTGCCCATGCCCCCATATGGATCACACCTGGCACACGCAATACATGTTCAGTGTCTATTCTTTGTATATGTACTCCAGTTTTTCATGTACGCCAGTGGTCTGATACAATATGTACAGTTTGAAAGGGTGTTAAATGAAATGTGGTGATGATTAATGTTTTTTGTGTTAATGTAATAGCAGTTAAAACAGGACCAGTCAAATTTAACCGTGAACACCAAAGTAAGGGGGGGAAACGAACACACAACAGGAAGGTTAAGTAAATAAATCACACAGCTGGCTGAGTTCATGACATGGCCGTTGAGTTTAGTGACTCATAGCTGTCTGTCACCACATCATTGATCCCAGTCTTGGACAGAGATTTAAATTCCTGGAATTTTGAAACACTTTTTAGGATTAGGATTGCTTTGGATGGTCTATGCTTTATTAAAACTGCTACACAAACAGACAGAAGTGATTCATTTTCTTTTTAACCAGTTTGAAGAATAACAGGGGCAAAGAGCAGACTGAGAAGGGGTGTGTGTACGCTCCTATCATCTGTGTGTGAAGTCAGGTGAATTATATCCAGAGTGGAGTGTGAGCACTTATCCATGAACAGCGACCTCACATTTCGCAAGAGAAAAGTACTGTAGAGTGATTCAGTAAAGAAAGCTAGTCAGTGATACTACTGGTGCAGAATATGATGGATAACCCTGTCCTCTGACCAAAGAGGAACTGCATCCAATGAGTCAAATAAGAAAAGAGATATTAGATACAGTTACTTAAACTATTTAGCTCCATCAAACAACGCTTAGCGTCCAGGCTCACATACTCACTCTAATTACAACATTTAATCGATGTATATGGCTGCTTAATTAATAGAAATACTAACTCAATCGCAATATGGACAAGTGCCATATTAAGATCGCAGGAAGCACAATTCATGTAAAAGGCTAAACAATAATAATACAGTTTTAAAAGTGAAGCTGCAGAGATTCAGATCTTCTTAAAAAGGACATACAATGCTCGTTTTCAGGTTCATATTAGTGTTTAGTGTTTTTACTGTTTCCATGCTTTAATGTAAAAAAAAACCTTAATTTTTTTCATACTGTCTGTTTGCGAAAAATACTGACCGCTTTGATGTGATTGGTCAACCGCTTGAGATGTCCAGCCCCTTAATGTGCAATGTGTTGGAGGCGGTTCAGGAAGGGGAGGAGAAACTTCCTCTGGAGGGAAAACAAGGATTTGAGCCTTTGAAAACCATTCACATGCTCATAAACCTATTCAAACACACTACAGAAAAGCAAAAACCCTCCTGTTATTTTTAAATTCTGATGACAATATTGTTGCACAATGATCATTTAGTCCAATATTTTATTAATCAATTGTCATTCTCAGTCGAAAATTATCCCACTAAGTTATTCTTTCCCAAATTGGGCAGAAGTAGTGCATGCTGCTTAAGCAAATGTAACACAATTAGGGAAACAAATGAAAATCAAACAACCTGAAGCAAATGGAAGGAAGGAAGAGTTTGAAGCGGCTCTCTTAGAGTAACAATCATGGGAGTGTCTCCTCCTCCAGTCAGGGTCCTTAAGCAGCGCTTTGCTGCTGATCCTGGCTCAGCGTGTTCGAAAGAGATGCTGCTTCTTCTTTCGAGGCCTCTCAGCTCTGAACTCCCTGCCTGAAGATCTGAATCAGAGAAATATTTTCCTCAAACATTTTCTTCTTAACCCTTTCATTGTCCAAAAAATATGTATTTTCTCCAGTTAAAGTGCAGTCAATCTGATATTCTTTTCTTTTGATTATTTACGGTGAAAAGCAAACATCAATACTGATATATTTAATTAAATGTACAGCAAAATAACATTACATTGATCATACAGATAACAGCTTATAATGAATAGACTATGCATCAATGTCAATATTCCGTCTTTGAAAATAAACGTTGATCATTAAAGGACCTTTCCACTGAATGGTAGAACATTATTTGAAAAATTGAAAGTGTAACAGAATAGAACATATTTTCAAAATGCTGATTCTAACATCCAGCAGATATTAAAGCTCAAAATGGTCTCAAGTTTCTTAGTATTTCAAACACACTGTTATACTGCCAACCCTTTTTCTTGTTATTT